GAGTATTTTTCTGCTGTGGCGTAGAAAAATACTCGAAAAGGAACTCGGAAGCGGCCCATAGAAGAAAACAACCTGTAGGGGGGAAAAGCTTTTTAGAGTGGACGCATTCGGGTAGCGATGAGTCCCGATTTCAGATAAAAGGCGCCAAGACCGGGGCGAGTCCTTTTCTCAGTGTACCTCAGCCTTGGCCACTTTAAGAGGTGTGGACTTCAGCTCCCTGAGCTGGGATTCTGGCCATTGAAGTCCGCGTATTTTAAGCTTGCCACGGTTGAGAAACGCTTATCCTGAGGGAACAACTGGAGGCTGCGTGTGTTCTTGGCAGGAAGGCGGGATGCCTCTGTATGCACAGTATTGCAGGCCGCGGGGCTGGGCCGCGACTTCCAACCCTCAGGATCAGGCGGCGGCTGAAAACCGGCCCCTTGCGTCGCGTGCCCGATTCTGATTCCTTCGAAGTCTAAATCCACACGGGCCGCATGTAGAAGCCACAAGCACGGTTAAAAAAAAATTAATTTGCTCCCCGGCCTCTTCCGCACGAGACCTCTCGACCTCAGAAAGCGAAGCTCTCTCACGAAAGCGCCATCAACCTCGGAGAACGGAGCGGTGAATAATTAAAAGGTGAAAACTGGACTCGAAAGTCAAGGAAGCTCGTGTGAGTCTACAGTATAAGTTTACCGGCCGGCCAAGGAGACAGCGCGTCAACGGGAGCCTCCATAGAGATATAAATGTAGAGCAAGCGATGGCCTCTTCCTTGCACGCTACTTCCGGCCCCAAATTAAGTCCTGCCCATGGAGCGCTTTCAGCTCAGAGTTGCAAAGGAGTCGAGAGCGACAGTTTCAAGGACGAGGTTCGGTTTCCAGCAGAAACCAAGGCCGTGCACCGCTTTTCCGGTCCTTGTTTATTCCCTTCGTTTGGCGCAAACGCCTCGCCTCGCCTCTCCCTGGTCTCCGCCACGGGGTGGTCAGACTTCTGGGGAGCGCAAGTAGCCAGGCAACATTTCGCATTCACGTGCATTGTTCACGTGTGAATGCGGCACGGATGCTGAAAAAAGATGATTTTCTTACCTCCGCTGTTCTTGTGTCCTTTTTCACGAAAGAAAAAATATCAGCAGGACACCCGGTCAGACTGGAACTGGAGGCTTCCCAGGATTAAACCACGGCCAGCTGTGCAGTTCCTCCTGTGATTTTGAACTAACCAGCATTTGGTTCAGAAGCAAGGTAAAAGTGGATCCTTATGCTGCTTACATGGAAACTACTCTTAAATCTCAATCACATTCGCTGATTGGAGGGTATTATTATTATTATTATTATTATTATTATTATTATTATTATTATTATTATTATTTCTGGCACCCTCCTGGGCAAAAACATGGATCCAAGGCATTATGTCTCACAGTCTCTCCCCCCTGCTTTTTAATGCTGCATGAAATTCTCCTGGGAAAGGTCAGGTGTGTGGGTAAAACTGATATTTAAAAAACTAGCACTGGGTCAGGTCTGATTCCTTCCCACTCACCTACACACACGTCATTTTCTTTGGCATCTCTCCAAAAGCTTAGTTTCTTTCAAACCCCTGTGATGCTCTATGGTCTGGCTAGCTGGCTGGGGGATTCTGGGAGATGAAGGCCACCCATCTTGAAGTTGCCAAGGTTGAGAAACAACCTTGGCTAGACTGTGCAGTGGTGACCATAGGTCCTTTATCATAAAGGACAGTCCTTTATTTCAGAAAGCTGTCCTTTAGATTTACGTAATTTAACTTATTTTCTTGGTTTTGCTCTTGAATTTTCCTTTGTAAAGCCAAGTTATAAGCATTTTTTAAAAAAATTAATCTCTTTCAGATTTACCCCTTTTTCAGGTTTATCCTTTGTTTTTTCCAAGAAAATATGGCCACGGTACTTAGGTAGAGATTTTGAGGCTGTTCATCAAAGGGCTATTAGAGTGCTGTGTTTGCAACCATCAGAATTAAATTAAAAGATTGTGAACATTCAGTACATCATCAGGAAGATAATCATGGGAACTTGGGGACATTGCTAATATATCCTCTCGTTTTGTTTTGTAGATGTGGCCTGATAACCTCGATAAGTCCAATCAGTCCAGACAAATGGGGCAGCCTCTGCTAAAAGATCCAGTTGATTTGTTTCGTTCGGAACGCGTTGTGAAAATATGCGCTCCTATGGTTAGGTATTCAAAGTAAGTGCTATTTTCAGATTGTGCCCCATGTATCTCTGCATATTCAATCAACGTTATTCTTACATTAACCTAATAATGACTCTTTTGCTCCATTTGCAAGCCACATTTTATCAAGAGTACCATCCCATAGTGTAGAAAATTGAAATAAAGGAATACCTCCACTTGGATATGAATGTTCCTGGGCTTTCAACCAGTTTACACAACCAACTTTGAGCAAGGCCCAGTATGGACACTGGCATCCAGTGCTTCTCTTCACTGCTGCCAACTTCAAAAGGATCAGAACATTATCATTGCTCCACACTGCTGGTCGGTCAGAGAGTTCCGTCCCCATCCATTTTTTATTTCAGGTTGGGTGCATTATTCCCCCCAAAATCCAAGTGGCAGTGGTCGTGCTGGGCTGTTAAGCCACCCAGGCACCACACCTCTTTTTCCTAAAACACTTGTGATATAACAGCATCTTGGCAAGATGTAAAAGAGCTGAATCTCTACAGAGAGGGGGAAATGGTAGGTGCAGCCCAAGTGTTGGGAGGCCAGGTAGAAGCAGAGTACCTACCATTGGAAAGCCAGCTCATTCATAAGCTCCCCATAGCTCTGGCATTCCAAAAGTGAAGTAAAGTTAGAATTGAGGCTTGTATGAACCTCCTAATGTCACTTTCTTTAAAGCACGCTTCCACTGATTTACAGGTTCAGAACAGTCATGTTTGTTCTCTCAGAGGTTGCATAAATAATATCAATATCAACAGATTCTTATGAAAATGTATTACTGGCTTGTATAGTTTAGATCTGGGGTTCCTAAAGTTTTTGCCACCACACCTCCCTTTAGCGTAATCTTAATGTACACACCTCCCCTAAAAATCCAAACACCAAAATGAACCCAAATGAACAATGAAAACAATACAAGGAAACTTTGGGAAAGGTGGCTTGATTGTAACGATGTAACAAGGTTCTTCACCCCTCTCCCGGAGTCTGTCTGCACCTCCCCAGGTACACCTCACAGTTTGGGAAACCCTGGTTCAGATTGTTCCTCCAAAGCTTCTAAAAGTTGTGGAGCATCAGAAGCAGCAGCAACAACCATCTGAATAACAACGCATAAGTAAATTGGATAGGAGAAGAACAGAGGTGTTGGTTTGGGTTCACGCCAGTGCATCACCTACATGGGAGCAGGGCAAAGGCATTGTGTGAAACTGCCCATTCATATGAAGAGAGCTTCAGCGATGATAAACTGTTTGTCAGGCGGAAATGCGATGGTCCTCTAGCTGTGTCCCAGGCATGATGGTTTAATTTGCTTTGAGGCACAAACGGCTGGTGGATTAGCTGAACACAGCTACAGAACTAATCTATGAATAATTCAGTGACCCTCAGCATGCTGTAATCTGTCAAATGTATTCTAATAGGTAATGAATTATTCTACAATGTGTGGTTTGAGAATGGCTTTATGTAATGACGCTACCAAGAAGCAAGTTAACCTTTTCCGTTAAGGAGCTAAGGTTTTTGAAACGGAGGTATCTTCAACGTCCATCGTTGCCCAAATGATGAAAGCCGTGTTGCACAGGCACGGCATAAGCTACGCCCTTTTTGTACTGAGTTTGACGGCACAATGTTGCTTCCGCCGTTCCCCTCCCAAGGATCCTGCTGCTTAGAAAATTATTTTGGTACTTTTTCTGTTAGTATATAAAATGACCCAACTGCACACTTTGTTTTTCAGGATAAAATACCAGAACTAAAGAGAGTCATAATTTGAAAAAACAGTTGCTTATCTCACGTGCTTCTATATTTGTAGATTGTCTTTCAGAACTTTAGTCAGGAAATACAACTGTGATTTATGCTACACGCCGATGATCATTGCAACTGATTTTGTCAGATCTTTGAAAGCCAGGCACAGTGAATTTACAACAAACCAAGGTAGGGTGTTTGCATTCTACTAGCTTCTGGAGCTTTTAAAATCCCTTTTAATGCACATTTAGTTGTCCTCCAAATATCTTTTAAAAACCTATACAAAACCATATTTAGAGTTCAGGAAGACCCTGAGTAGGATCATTCATGGCACAGAGATATGAAATATTATGTTTGGTTTTGGTCTGATGTAGTGTTAGAATTAAGACAACAGTGGTTTTTTTTCAGTAAGGATAATGAAACAAACCAAGGTTTAGTGCGACAGAGGAATCCATTCAGAGCCTGGAGTCCTATGCACTAAATCTTCTTCAAACTGTTGCCCTCCAACTGTCTTGAGTTTGAAATTGTTCTTCTGTCTGTTTCTTCAAGTTAAATTAAATTATCCTTGGATCAAGGCCTTACTTCTTTATTAGATTTGTAACACGGTTTTTTCTCCAGGAGCTCCAAGAAGTATGCATATCCATACACCAAGAACCCCATGAGATAGTTGGGGCTGCAAATAGCTTCTAGTCAAAGGTATCCAGTGAGTTTCAACAGCTGAGTATGGGTTCGGCCAGGCTGTCCCTAGCTGGAGTTCAATGCTAGCCACTACACCACCTTGGTTCTCTTACTGATGTATCTAGAACGCAACTTGTTTCATAAATTTCAGTGTTTTTTTTTTCATTTATTACATTTCATTTTTTTAACAGGTGATCATCCTTTGATTGTTCAGTTTGCTGCTAAAGAAGCACAGGTTTTAGCAGATGCAGCTGGCCTTGTTAGTCCATTTGCAGATGGTGTAGATTTAAACTGTGGTTGCCCGCAAAGGTAAGGGACTTGAGGCAGTATATGGAAACAATGATCTCTCCCAACAAGATTCAAATAAACAGAACATGAAAATACAACTGAAACAATACAAAGTGCAGAACATTTCAAATAAAACACTTACTTTATTCAAAATGTATATATACGTATCCCCCATGAATTTGACTAGTATCTAAAATGATGTTTTTTAACCTCGGCAACTTTAAGATGGGTGGACTTCAACTCCCAGAATCCCCCAGCCATCACTGGCTAGGGAATTCTGGGAGTTGAAGTCCACCTGTTTTAAAGTTGCCAAGGCTGAAAATCACTGGTCTAAAAGGTCCTTTTGATCATGCTTCTAATTTAATACATTTAAGTAGGCCTCTGAGTTTGATTGTAAAGCTGATGCAAGTTTATAGCTATAGGAAATCCTTCAGATAGCGTGGCTACGAATCATTTGGGTTGCTGCTTCATTGTTAAGATCATTTGTTTATAAGAACGATATTTAGAATAAAGCATTTGTGTTCAATACTTGAGGGCAACTCAAAATTCCAGTGAAAAGGGAGCCTAATGATATACGCGCTAAACCTGCGGACCATGATAACCCCTTCGGCAGCTGATCTCTGCCATTCAGAGGCCACATTTGAGGGGGAAGAGGGCAATGTGGGAAGCACGCCCAAATATTCATGCCCAGGCAGAAGATCCAAGGGAGGAATCTGACGTGCTTAGGTGAATGCAAGTTCCTCTGTGAAATCAGGAGCTCAGTTTCATGTTGGGAGTAGTTTTAATACATCTTGCCATCTATATATTGACTGTATGGAAAATCATTTCTGAAAGTGACTCCTGTTTGATAACTGATTTTCTGTACACTATTATTTGCTTCCTTTACATTTGAAAGTAGGTAAAGCTGCACAGGAATTGAAGCTTTGTTTACATGAGGTTTGAATGTCTGATTAAGTAGCATTTTTAATATGACATGGCAGGGCATATGTTGTATATCCACATGAATACAGCAAAAAATAAGTAGCATGTATTATACAGTCTTTGACCACATCATGGGGAAACTGATGTTCACTTTTCTGGAATTACAAAGAACGCTTGTTAGACAATTTAATTCCGGCTTCCTGAAAATCTCATTTTTAACCATATGTGCAGACTGTTTCCTTACACAATGAATTTAAAAAAAAATTGGGAAAAATAATTATGCATCCTGTTACAGAAGACTTATTATTTATTCTTTTCTTCTAGGTGGGCTATGGCAGAAGGCTATGGTGCTTGCTTAATAAACAAACCAGAACTGATACAAGAGATGGTGAGATTAGTAAGAAATCAAGTGGAAAAACCCATGTTTTCAATATCTATTAAGATACGGTAAGTCTTTTATAAATGTATGTGTGAACGTGTTTTATTTATTGCCTACATAAAAATGTATCACAAATAATCAATTAAGGAGCTTTCCTTATTTCTGAACAATATGATTTAGTGAAAAATCAAGGAATTTGTATTATTCGGGAATAACAGTGCAATATAATTAGAATACGATACTCATTTTCTAAATATTTGGTTTGGCATGTGTCCAGCACAACAGTGTGATTCATGAACTTATGCTAACATACTACTTGATATACCCATTCTAAATATGTTTTGCTGATAACAAAACCTGTAGGATCATGATGAGGATTAAGACCAATGTTAGTGGGCTAGGCTAAGGTCAAGAGAAAATTAGTTGAATTTATAGCCCACTGAAAGCAAGCAACATTCAGATACAATTAGCTCAAATTCCATGGATTTGGGTGCGACTAATTTCCTTTGGATTAGAGTCAAAATATGCCAATCCTAGTCCTTACAGACAACATTGGGTGGGTATTACTAGTACTGAAGTATGTGTTTTTAAAGCGTGTAAATATTATAAAAGCATGAGAGACATACCCACCTGTCTCTCCCTCCTTCCCTCCCTTGGTTCTTAACTTTTCACTATATTTTCACGCTGAATTACCTGCTGAATCCTGATATTTCTCTTGCATGGAATGGAAGGATTCACAATGATCTAAAGAGAACTGTAGACCTCTGCCAAAAAGCAGAAGCAGCTGGAGTATCCTGGATTACTGTACATGGGAGAAATGTAGAAGAAAGACATCAGCCGGTACATTACGATGCAATTAAAGTAATTAAAGACAGCATATCAATACCAGTGGTAGCTAACGGTGATATGAAATCTCTAAAAGATGTGAAGACCATTCATCAAATAACAGGAGCTGATGGTGAGAACAAACCTTGGTTCTTTTCAGTTTTTCTCTCCAATGCTTGTTTCTATAAATGAGTAATGCACGTGCATGTTTGACGAAGGGCATTAAATGAGAGTTGGTCGCAGATGATTACTTTGGTCAGCTTTTTACTGACATTTTTCCTTGCCGTAGATTCTGACAAAGCAGATTATTGCTATTAAGGACTTACACCAGGTCACAAGAAAAAGCTTCTCTAAATTTATTTATTTATTTATTGCATTTCTATCCTGCTGCAATTTAAATCAACTCTGCAAAAGTCACTATGGTCATTTCTCCTTTTTTATATATATAATTTTTGTTGAAGAAATTTTTAACAAGATAAAAACAATACAAATATTGGAAAAGAAACAAAGAAAATAAATAAGAATAGTGAATGAATAAGAAAGAAAATAGAAAAAGAAAAAGAAATGGAGGAGGAGGAGGAGGAGGAGGGGAAGAAGAAGAGGGAGGGAGGAAAGGAAGGAAAGGAAGGAAAGGAAGGAAAGGAAGGAAGGAAGGAAGGAAGGAAGGAAGGAAGGAAGGAAGGAAGGAAGGAA